GGGCCCTAGGCGGCGCTACGAACGACTGAAGATGTTCTTAGGGGAACCCCTAAAAGCACACTGATAGGAAGAGATTTTTCAGGAGGACACTGGAGATGCTCTAAGTTTTATTCTCTTCAGACTTTTATTTTAAAAATATGTAGTTTAAATTGCTAACTACATATGTCACGTGGCTTATTCCCTTCATCAGACTTTCAAAAAGGAGATAGTACTAATTAGGTAAAAGAAAAGGAGTATGTCATAGCCCCGCGCATCACAGCACCGAGGAGCTCGCCGGAGAGAACAACTGTGCATGATGAATCTGCACGCGGATTGTAAAGAACAAATGTGGTCTTTTTCATGCTCCATGCAATGCAACAGGACATGCGTAGGCGGGTTTCTTTCAGCGTGGCCGTGGAGACGTCCCTGGGGGTGTGATTATTGGCCACCGATGACCGGAGAACCGCCGGAGTGAACACGAGAAAGGGAGAGGCTTGACGTAGAATCCGGAGAAATATGGTTAACACGTAGCACAAGATTTGCAGGCCAGACATCCACGTCCTGGTCTTGCATTTTCTTTCTTTTCGTTTCTTCAGCAGCTGCACCCATCCGCACGCGAGAGAAACGTGAGAATGGAAGTTAATTAATTTGCCCGCAAGACATGCCATGCCTTCGCACACAGTACTCCCTCAGTTTCTAAATACAACTCCTTTTGGAGTTTTCAATATAGACTATATACGTATGTATAGAGACGTATTGAAAAGTGTAGATTCACTTATGTGTTTCTGTAGTCCATATTAAAATCTTTAAAAAGCCTTATATTTAGAAACGGAGGAGGTATAAGATTTTGCCAGATCTTTTTTAATCTTGGAATAAGAATTATACAACCCTTCAAAATAACTTATACACACTTGCTAGCTCCTCACCTAACCATGGATTCTTGGAACAAAGCCATCAAATGCGATTTGGTGTGATGGGGATGGCCTAAAGAAATGTGATTCCTATCTCCTTTCTCCAGACTGCGGAACCGATGTTGAATACTCCTCAAGTTTGAGGTTGGTCAGAAGTGAGAAAGAATTAAACCTGAAGATTCTGCAGGGACAAACAAAAAGATCACCTTCCTCCTTATATTCCTTAATAGTTAATAGTAACATACTTAACGTTAGCTCCACAAGGTCATTAATTAACCACTGAAAACAACCTTGTCATTCTGTGCCAAAAGAAAGGTGAAAGATGGCGTCCCTTCGATGTTATTGATGACTACCAGTACCACTGTACTAGTACAATCCTTAACCGAACCGCCGACGCTGAAGAACTGTCTATATAGTGAAACTCATTAAGGAACTCTTTGTTTTGCGGGATTCTAAAAACGCAGGAATAGAAAAAATATAGAATTGCTCATCTCAATACTACAAGATTTTGGTTTGTTTGATTGCATCATATGAAAAACAAAGGATTTTTTCAAAAGGTTTGAGTAGACGCTAGTATTTCTATTGAATGTAGTTCATATAGGATTTAATCTTATGAATCAAACAACCAACATAATGAAAATTCATAAGTATTCTAATCCTTCAAAATTCCTACGAAAATCCTTTGAATCAAAGGAGCCCTAAGTCAGTCTATGGTTTACTCCACTTGTTACCTACGAACATTTTGTTCCGCAATGAGATGTAGTCCCAATTCGAGGCACCGTATCGATATGCACAATGTGGTTACAAGTATATATTGGAGATAATTTGACACAACTATGTACATGTTTTCTTCAGCACCTCGTACTTCTGATTTGTAAATCAATAAACCGTTGATATGGATATCAAAATCCTACTATGCTATCAATCAAATCCATTGATGTAAAAAGTCTATGAATCCTGCACATGTTGCGAGATTGGGCATATGACGAAACGCTGCGAAATCTGATTTTGCTTCAGAGGCTGGTTGAGCAAGACAGCTCAAGAAACGAAATTTCCTTTTCATGGATGATTAAGGAGCGGCGACCTACCAATGGACAGCTATTATTATACGCGTCACGCAACGGAAGATGCTTTAATCCCATCACAGATACAATATGCGTCAGCCAAGCCAAGTGGCCGCCCTCACCGACACTCAGAAATCAGCAGCCCGCCCGGTTGTGAGGCGTTCTTCTTGCAAGGATACTGTGCTCTGTTGACCAAGCTAGCAAGAATTGAGTAACACAAATATTCAAGGAAATACTATCAAAATTTCAAGTTGCAAATTCTCAATTTAAGATTACAAGTTCACAAGAAAGACCTCCAGAGCATTTACTGGTGGTGGATTTGCATGAGCCAACACAAAAGACAGACTACAGGAGTAGTTTTTTTTTTCTGTGGTTCTTGTTCTCTTCTCTTCTACTGTTTTGATTTGTTATGCTTTCATTTTGTTTTGGTCTGTCTGCTTTGTTATGCTTGGTCTTTTGGCTGGCTGTACTCTTTGTGCCTTCTTTCGCATTTGATTCTAATATGAAATGACGCGTGTTTGGCCGCCTGTTGGAGAGAGAGAAAAAGGACAAACTATTGTTCAGATTGCATATCATCTTTATGTGAGTATATGATGACTTTACGGAAGCTATTTAGTTTTAATTAATGTTTATTTCATTCTTTTTCTAGAAAGATCATCCTCATGGCAACTGGTTAGCTAAATGCAATTTGTCACTGTCATTTGCGAAAGATCGGTGCTTCCTTTAAGAAAAATGGGTCAGGTGGTGGTACTTTGAGTACCATGCAAGTTGAAAGAACCCTTCTGACAGAAAAGTAGCATTTTTTTTACATTGTTATATTTATAAACCACGTTGGATCCTCACACGAATATCCTTAATACTAACCGGCAGTGTTTAATTAAGGTATTTTTCTAGTGCATGCAAGGTGTAAGCAGACTAAACTACTCATATGTACAGCGATTTCCTTTTAATTCAAGAGAGTACTGCTGCTGCTGCAAATTTGAGTTATGTCCTCTGAAGTCTGAACTTGGAATGCAATCCTGAAGCCTATCGTACCTATTATCAGGAATCTTCCCTGAAATTTTCTGTTTCTGCATGGCACATAGGGGCTAGGGCACACCATTAATTCTGGTCAACACAGGGGTCAGAAAAAAATTGGAATTGTTTATCCTACATGACAGTTTCCTCGAAAACAACAAAAAATGTAACAAAAATCTTTTGGGGCCTGATGAATCTCGTGTCAGACGGTGAGTAAAAAAGTTTGCACTAGTCAATGGTGCATCTTGTGGTTTTGCACATGATCCGTTAAACAAATGCACTAGTGTGCAACTTGAGTTTCAGAAGTCAATGTTTGGCAGGACAAAGGAAACCACACCACACCACACCAAGGTACTAATGACAATCCCTGAAATGCAGTAACGGGCTTTACAAGAAATCTAGTTACCCAGTTTGCCATGTTTCTGACAAAATGAAGAACTGTTAAAAACAATAATCTACTCCCTCCGTTTCTAAATATAAGTCTTTTTAGAGATTTGAATATGAACTACATACGGATGTATATATAGACATAGTTTAAAGTGTAGATTAACTCATTTTGCTTCATATTGAAATCTCTAAAAAAACTCATATTTAGGAACGGAGGGAGTACTACGTAGTGCTTATGTCGATAAACAAAAAGGGGGCAAGATCATAAAGATGAGAACAGAATGTGTAGAAAGGGGAAGACAGATACCTGTACCGGAGTACTGTCGGGAAACACCGGACGACTGAATCACAATGGTCGTGCATCGATGCTCGGTTATGTACACATACTAAAGAATACTACACAATTGTACCAGAGAAAGTACATACAGGAATTAAACCGAACACAAGGACACCGATTGTACCACCACCACCGAGAAGCAGTGCGATTTACTCAAGAAGAGACCAGAGAACAGACACAGAAAGGAAGGGCCTGGCCAGCAGCAGCTCCCCCGTTCGGCACCAACTGACCCGCAACACCAGCTGCCACCAATCACCATATCAACCTAATGAATTATTATTATTTAGCCACCTCCTCCTCCTCTTCCTCCTCCTCCTCCCTGCACGAGCACGAACACCAGCCTTTTATATAGCGTCGCCTCCTCTCGGCAGCACCCTTGCCAGCCTCTCTTCTTCTCCCGTCCTCGCCTTCCCTGCCCTGCTCAGGTTTGCTCCCCCCCTTCAATTCTCCTCTGCGTTCGCAATGCGATGTCGTTAACTCGTTATGTACTTTCAAAGTTCTGTCATGATTTCATCTTCTGCAAGTCCATGCCGTTTCGTTAGTAGTAGGATGCCTGTGTAGTTTTTTCAGAGTTCTTGATCCCTGGGGAATGAGATTTCTGTGTGTTGTGTTGTACTTGATGACATTGCTTTCTCTTCAAGTTGAAGCAGAGATTGTGTGATCGCTTGGTGTAGGCAGGCAGAAAAGTGTTACAGCTTTGGTAGTTGGTTCGGGCCTTTTTGTCCTTGTGCTGAGATCTACACGGCTTTCTTTTTGTTCAAGCAAAGCTACTTTATATGGCAATCGTGATTTGGTAGGTATAGCAATTAATTTACTATAATGCGGCGCAATAGCATAGTAGGTCCTACCCTGGATCTAGTGATCTTAATGCCTGAGATGGTTCTTTTGCGTGTAGTTTCCGTGTCGGCGATAGTGAGTAGTGAGTGGATCGATCACCAAATGTTGAAATTATTGATCTGAATGCTAAAACATTCTACCTCTACGCCAAAATATAAGACGTTCAAACGGATGGTAGATCTTGCCGTTTTTCTTCTTCTTGGTTTTATCGAGCAGCCACATGTTGATCATTCAGATCGAACCACCACAAAGCATTCAGGTTCTGAGTTGAAAGTTGTAACGCTCTCTGAAAACTTCCGGCGTGATCTCAGGGGAACTGGATCAGGGGAGAAGAGAAGGCAAGCAAGTGGTGGTGACCATGGAGTTCAAAGCGGCCGTTTTCACCGCCGCCGTGCTGGCCGTGCTCCTCTGCTCCCCGGCATCCGCCCAGAAGAGCCCACCGGCGCCGTCACCGGTGTCGGTGTCAATCCCGCCGTCCCTCGCGCCGGCGCCGGCGCCGGCCCCGCGCTACGTGGACCTGGCGGCGCTCCTCGACGTGGCCGGCCCGTTCCACACCTTCCTCGGCTACCTGCAGAAGACGAAGGTGATCGAGACCTTCCAGGCCCAGGCCAACAAGACCGACGAGGGCATCACCATCTTCGTCCCCAAGGACTCGGCCTTCGCCGCGCTCAAGAAGTCCACCTTCTCCAACCTCACCAGCGACCAGCTCAAGACGCTGCTCCTCTACCACGCCTTCCCCAAGTACTACCCGCTGGCGCAGTTCAGGAACCTCAGCTCGCTCAACCCGGTGAACACCTTCGCCGGCTCGCCCTACACGCTCAACCTCACCGACGACATGGGCAGCATCAGCGTCGAGTCCATGTGGTCCAAGCCCAAGATCTCCAGCAGCGTCTACGCCACCAAGCCCATCGCCGTCTACTCCATCAACAAGGTGCTGCTGCCCATGCAGCTCTTCAGCAAGGACCCGCCGCTGGCGCCGGCGCCCGCGCCCGCGCCGGAGTCAGGGGCGTCGGACATCGCCCCCAGCCCGGGCAGCGCCAAAGCGGGCGCCGGGAACGGCAAGGCGGACTCGACGAGCGCCGGGCATGTGGGTGCCGCGAATTGCTTGGGGCTGCTGGCTGCCGCGGCAGGTGGCCTGATGCTCCTGTGGTGAGAGAGAACACGTGGATGGATGGTTCCTGTCATTTGTAAGCACTTGAATTTGATTTTGAGCTGGTTGATGGAGGCATTCTTTTGGACATAGTAGGCATGATGTTAGGATTGAGTCGGGGTATTTTACATCGTATTGCTCTCATGCATAATCATGATCATTACTCATAAATTGACGGACGGATGAATATCGGAAGAGGTTTCGTCACCTTTATTATGATGATGACTACTGCTTCGCTTGCTTGTGTTACTCTGTTTATCTCTATGCAGATTGCCAAGTGATACTATATAAAGCGCCATGCTAAAGCTGTTGGACGCTGCCTTAGGCATAACGCGCAACCTTCTGTTTTCCACCCACACCCCTCCTCGGCTCCTCGCACATGCTCCCTCCCTCACTTATACAGTGTGATCTCCATGTGTCGCCGCAATCTTTAGCCCTAGTCGTCTCTCCCTTTCTCTCCTCCACGCGGCTCTTAGATCCACCACCATCTCGTATGTTTCAAACTATAGCTGCCCTGCTACTGCTCGCCGATAGGCGAAAAAGGAGGTGGCTAAGTTCCCTTGTCTCACCACTAGAAGGCCATGGGTCCCATCTGGCTCCGCCGGACGCTCTAGCTAGCAATGAGAGGGCGGGGGAACCCCGGATATGTGATTTTGGCATGCAGATTGTAGGTTTCGGTTTTGCTTGGCGGCGCTACGGTGGCGGACGCACCGCCTTGTAGAATATAATTATGTCTCGTCTTCTTTCCCACCCCAAAGTTGCTCCTCCAAAACGACGTTAATGAGCTAGTAGCATTGTGTCCTAGCCGGTTCTTCATATCGATGAGATTAGGGTTTGGTCCTCGGCATCGTCGCTTTGGGGAGGTGGCCACAACTTGGGATGACCTTTCGGTTCTCCAGCTACACCTCCTACCAGCGAGTCGCTGATACTTTTGGTGATTCCCTAGAGGAGCTTTACGAACTTGTGTTTCCTGAATCTAGGAGTCAAATAAATATGGGGAGTTTTGTGGTGACATTCATCTTCGAATAGAGCATCGCCGTCTTCTCCAAGCAGTTGGTCCGTCTAGATTGATGTCGTCGGTGTTTCTTAACAGAGTTCAATGTCCTCGTTGCTAGGTGTGTGGAAAAGACTCTTGTTCTAGTGCCAGGGTGAAACTCCAATCGCAACAACTATCGATGCACCATCTACATATGTAGGTTGGAGAAGGCGGAGGTTTCTCCACGTACCAGGATCTGATTTTTATTTATTCAAGTTCTCGTGTAATCTCGCCACCAGCATGTCAGGGTAGTACCGCGCCTAGGTCTTCCTCTAAGACTATCATGATGTTCATTATCCATGGGAAGCCTAGTTCAGCCTCACCACTGCCATCTTCAAGCTAGTTGTCCTCGCCTTTCTCATCATCGACCTCACTAGTCAGCCGCTCTCCTCTCTCCGCCTTCTTTCTATTGTCCTTCCTCCACAACTCCTTCTCCTTAAGGCAACAAAGATCTAGTAAAAGCAATTAAATCCAATTAAGCTACTAATGATTCTCAAAGGTTTTTAATACCTCAAAAAATCATTTGTATAAACTATGTCGCGGTACAAAACATAGGGTGTGACACCTTTTCAGCCGTTCTTAGATAAGTGACTGCCGCTTTTGTCGTGGTACAAAACATAAGGTGTGGCCCGATGAGACCTCCGTCTAAGCCCATTGAACGTTCATTACTTGTCAACCGCCTGAGTGACCTTACCACGGTCGTCGTTGAGCAACCCCATATTCACCATTATCTTTGTCGACCTGCCTAATCACCCCTCCCCACTCCCCCACACCTCGGCCCTCCCCTTTTCTTTTCCTTCTCCTCCGATTGCCGGTTCAAGCTCCACACCTTCTCTTCTGATTGCCATGACTTAGGTCACAAGTCGTCGTAAAACATGTGTCGAAATGTTGATTTTTGCGGGGAAAAATTTCCGTTATGTTTACTCATAGGCCACGAGTGATTCATCTTGCTCACTAGTCTGCGTTGATGAGTAGTTCTTGGCAGAAACAACATAACCAAGATGAGTTGTGCTTAACTGAAAGACTCATGACCCATACTCAGAGAGTTGATTTTGAACTGGGGTCTTATTAATTGCATTCGGTATGTGCATACAAACAGTATGAATGATAGGAGCATGGTGTCTTGTTCTCCTCACATGCCACTTTATATTCATATGTGCGGAATCCAGAGGATCCTGTTTCATCAATGTAAAATGTCTAAGATCTTCAGCTTGGCTGTATCTTATTCGGTTCTCCACTTGACTCAGGTATACTAGTTGTCTAATATTTCCAACATGTGTGCGGGTTCCTACTGGAGCGGGCATACCGTACGTAGCAACAAGCATACACACACGCACCCAGTCGAAAAAAATGTTCAAAGTCAACTTTACACTTAATCCAGCCGGGGACACTAGCATTTTCCTATTCCCATGTCATCAATGCACACATTTTGGTTTCTCTCTCAACAATGTGTTGATTATTACTTCCTCCGTCCGGGTTTATTAGGTCTCTCAGCATCACAAGCATGTCCCTTTTTATAAGGCTTCGCTTGGAATGATGCATGCAAGCAACCATTTCATTGGTTGCATTGAAAGTCATTGTTGTTGGTGTCATCCCTGAAAAATTAATACACTTCATGCGTGCTTTTTCATTGACTGCATGCATGTGAGAGAATGCATGGAAGTGGAATAGAAAAATTAATGTGAGCAAATTACTATGTGTCTTGGTCTAAGAGAAGTTATCTTTAGGCATAATAAACCCGGACGGAGGGAGTACTCCCTCCGTTTCATAATGTAGGCATACAAAGTTTTAAAAAGTCAAATCTCACAAATATTGACCAAATTTATGGAGAAAACCATTTACATCTAGAATGCCAAACATATATAGTTAGATTTATCATAAGATCTAGTTTCATATTTTATATATTTGATATTGTAGATTTTGATAGTTTTTTATCTATAAACTTTAAAAAGTTTGACTTCTAAAATCTATACGCACTACATTATACATTATAGAACGGAGGGGGTATTAATTTTCTATTCATCAATTGGTTGAAAATCCACTTCATGTCAATAGATTTTACACGAAACCACGAGGTGGAGATATGGGTATGCTGGCGAGGCTGAATTAGGAGCGATTCGGAGCCGGGGATGACGCAACAACGATGCCGCTGGTGGAGACAAGTTGAAGGCCAGCAATTTCTTTTTCTTTTTTGAAACGGGGTGAGGGCCAGCAATTTCAGGTGGGGGGAAGTTGCCATCGGTGAAACTGTGGCCGGGTTAAGAGGAGTGGCCGAAGCGCGTCGGTGGCATGGTGGAGGAGGCGGCTTGGGCAGGGCGGCGTGACGAGACATGTGCGGCAGCGGGTGGTGGAGGAGGCGGCTTGGGCAGGGCGGCGTGACGAGACA